GGGGGGGGGGGGGGGGGGTCTTGAAACTTGGCGACTTTTTAAAGACTTATGGACTTCCAACTCCCAGAATTTGAACTCCAAACTTGGTCACTTGAAGACCTGTGGAGTTCGACTCCCACAATACCCTCTGCTGTAGGTGATTGACGGAAGATCAGGAATGGCTCTATGATTTAGGGCCGTTTTGTTTTGTTTTTTAAATTTTCTAAATGAAATGCTTGGTATTTCCTGGCCTACCCTAACCCAGGTATCGAGTTGCAAACACAAATTATTGTCCCCATTTATGATTCAGATGGAAGACCGTTCTGTTCCATTGAGTTCTTCCTCCCAATTTATTGTTCTGCTGTGGGCTCCTTGGTGCTCTCTGAGCTTGGTGGTTTCCTTGCAGACCTTTCATTACCAAACTAGGTAATGTCATCAGTGCTAGAAAGGAGTGGAATTTGGCCTCTGTATATATAGATTTTTATTGACTGTTTCCTAGTATGATTTGATTGCTTATTGGCAATCTATGACTGTATTAAATGTTGTACCTTATGATTCTTGACCCTTGACGAATGTATCTTTTCTTTTTATGTACACTGAGAGCATTTGCACCAAGACAAATTCCTTGTGTGTCCAATCACACTTGGCCAATAAAGATTATTCTATTCTATCTGTAGAAGCAGCTTGCCCTTCAGTGTTGGTGAACATGTTCTTGCTGGTTCCAGCTGCTAGTATATAAATATAGGGCAAATCCCATTCCCTTCTAGCATTGATGATGTTATCTAGTTTGGTAATGAAACGTCTTCAAGAAAAGCAAGCTCAGAGAACACCAAGGACCCCACATGCCTCTTTCTTTTCTTCCTCCTCCTCCTCCTCCTCCTCCTCCTCCTCCTCCTCCTCCTCCCAAACCTCATTCCCTTCTAGCACTGATGATGTTATCTAGTTTGATAATGAAACATCTGCAAGAAAAGCAAGCTGAGAGAGCACCAAGGACCCCACATGCCTCCTCCTCCTCCTCCCTGAAACCCTTCCTCCCTTCCAGCACTGATAATGTTATCTAGCTGGGCTATGAAACGTCTGCAAGAAAACAAGCAATCTCAGAGAACACCAAGGACTCCAGAGTTTAACCCCAAGCAACATATATTCTCGTTTATTGGCTTCTCCTGGTGATGGGGAAAAAAATAATGGAAAGAAATTTGCCAAATCTTGATTCAGCCTCTGCCTGTGTTCTTATGTCTCCTCTCAGGGGTGTTTAATATGTTTGTTTTCAGCTCTCTTGCCCGGGCTTTACAGCCTTCCATCTTAATGCAACTGAAGATCTCTGATGGATCCACTCATCGCTTTGAAGTAAGTCTTGCTAGCAAGTTGTTTTGGGGCAAAGTCCCTTTGAATTTTACCATAGATTTTTCAGCTCCAAAACGCTCTCCAGAATCCGCGTTTTATGTCTGGCATCTGCCTTCTCTCAGAATCCGAGTTGTAGACTACGAGGAACGTTGTGGAATGGAAAACTTTATTTTCTTTTTTACAAAAATGTGTAGTTTCATGAGGATTTTTTTTAAAAAAACAAACACATGTTTTAAATGTAGAAAATGTTTGACTTAGGAAACTGTTCTGACGAATACCGATGGATGCTTCCCCCCCTCTTATTTTCCTCCCCAAAAACTAAGTCTGACCACATAGTTTCGTAGCGAAGCATGGGAATCGAGCTAGTATTGCATATAATAAAACTTTCCATTCCTCCCTCTTATCGTATCTTCTAGTAAAAACATAGTGATAATATTAAACATGGTAAGCTTAATAGTCACATCAATTACAATCGTCATTCTTTCTGTTTTGTTTTGTCTGTCAGGTCCCCGTGGCCAAATTCCAGGAATTAAGATACAACATCGCTCTCATTTTAAAGGAGATGAATGACTTGGAGAAAAGAAGCATATTGAAGATACAGGACTGAGCATTTAAAAACGAGAAACTCAAGTTTTCAAGACTGGAAGAGTTTACAAGGACACCTGTTTGTGTGTGCGATTATGTGCGTTGTTATACAACCTTACAAGAGCTGGCTGTACATTTTTTTGTTTTGTTATTTTCTGGGTCAGAAACTGCTGGTTAAAAGGTTGTTTACGTGACTTTAAAAAAACAACCTTTGAATTCTCCAACGGAGTGTTAATAGCCTAATTCCTATTTAACCCTTTTTATGTATGATTCATTCCAAATGAAAATTTAAAGTTTAAAAAAATAATTGTTATCCTAATGGACGAAAGGAGCCTTTTCAGATTGAACTGTGTGACTTGTTTGCCTGGTTAATCTCAGAGTGTCGGATCTGCATGCTCCGAAATGGGTTTTAGTCTTTTTTTTGGAAGGGTGGGTGGGGGCAATTCCAATTAAAGATCAGCAAAATCCAACAAAATTCAGTTCAGTTGTAGCAAGGAGCCAGTTTGGTCTAGTGCAAGGGTCTTCAAACTTGGCAAATTTAAGACTTGTGGACTTCCACTCCCAGAATTCCTGAGTTAATATGACTGGAGGAGGAATTCTGGGAGTGGAAGTTCACAAGTTTTTTTTAAGAATTTATTTTGATAACAAACATACACAAACACAAAACATCAAATAAAACCATCTTTCCATTGTACAGTGTGTCGGTTGGTACACAATATTAACAGTTAATATTGTGCACAATATTAACAGTCTTTCCCTCCTAAACTTTCATATTATGTAAATCAACTATATCATGTTGTTATCAAGCCATTATTGGACTTCAATTATAAGTTCATGTTATCCTTTTCGAGCAAATCGCAACTTTTACAATGTCTAGTTCATGTTCATTTCACAATAATCAAATATATCATTACAATGTATCAACTTTACTACTTTCTTACCTAGCCATTGATAAAATAAATCCCATATTTTATCATATTCTTTTTCTTCTTGCGCTCTAATTGCCAATGTCAAATCTACTCATTTCTGCACGTTCCATTATTTTTTTAATCACCTCTTCTTCTACCAGGGTTTTTTTCACGCTTCCAATTTTGAGCAGTCCATGAGTCTTAAAGCTGTCCAAGTTTGAAGACCCCTGGTCTAGTGGTTAAGATATCAGGCTAGAAACTGGGAAACCATGAGGTCAAATCCCGCCTTAGCCATGAGAGGCAAATGAGTGATTTTGGGCCAGTCATTCTCTTGGCCCAACCCACCTCAGGTTGGTTGTGAGGCGAATAGGAGGATTACAGGAGAATATTTGTAGCTCAGAAATTGTAGAGGCAGATATTTCTCGGCACAATGAGAATATATCTGCCGAACAAAACTCCGCGTTGGCGACAGGAAGGGCATCCGGCCAGTAAACACTCAGCTCCATTCGGTTGCCCAGACTTCACCCCACAAGGGATTATGGGGTTGTTAAATGAGGATGCTTTGTAGCTCAAGGTTGACATGAGGGGTCCTGGATGATCTCTGAGCTTCCTTGTTTTCTTGATGTTTCATTGCCAAGCTAAGTAACAGCATCCATGCTAGAGTAAAGAGTGCAACACTCCTTACTAGCACTGACGATGTTACCTAGCTGGGAAATGAAATGTCTGCAAGAAAACAAGCTCAGAAAGCAACAAGGACCCCTTCAAACAGGTAGAGCTTGACTTTCAACTACAGTTGAGTCCAAAATGTATGTTGTTAAGTGAGGCAGTCTGTATTTGCTACCTGAATGCCTCAGGAAATGGGATCTGGAAGGGACCACCCAGGGATCCCAAGGCTCCAAAGGGATCCAGAAGCTGCAAATTGCCAACTGTTCTTCCTGTGAAGGCCAATTGGTTCATTTTTAATGAGCTGTGGTGGCGCAGTGGTTAAAGTGCTGATTGCCATCTGACTCCAATTCGGCAGTTTGATCCTGAGTGGCTCAAGGTTGACTCAGCCTTCCGTCCTTCCGAGATGGATAAAATGAGGACCCAGATGGCTGGGGGCAACAGGCTGACTAAACCGCTTAGGGCGGGTTGTAAAAGCACCGTGAAGCAGTATATAAATCTAAGTGCTATGACTATTTTCCTTCCCTCCCTCTCTCCCTCCCTCCCTTCCCTCCTTCCCGGTGGTTAGAATGCAGTATTGCAGACGAACTCTACACACTGCCAGGAGTTCGATCCTTACTGACTCAAGGTTGACTCATCCTTTCATCCTTCCGAGGTGGGTAAAATGAAGATCCAGATTGTTGGGGGGGGCAGGCAAGAGGTTGACTCTGTAAACCGCTTAGAGAGGGCTGTAAAAGCACTGTGAAGCGGTATATAAATCAAGGTGCTATTGCTCTTCCTCTCTCCCTCCCTCCCTTCCTTCCATTAGAATGCAGTATTGCAGGATAATTCTGCCCATTGCCAGGAGTTCAATCCTGACCAGCTCCAGGTTGACTCAGCCTTCCATCCTCCTAATGTCTGTAAAATGAGGACCCAGATTGTTGGGGAACAAGAGGCGGACTCTAAACTGCTTAGAGAGGGCTGTTGAAGCACTGTGAAGCGATATAAAAGTCTATGGCTATTTTCCTTCCTTCCTTCCTTCCTTCCTTCCTTCCTTCCTTCCTTCCTTCCTTCCTTCCTTCCTTCCTTCCTTCCTTCCTTCCTTCCTTGCTTCCTTCCTTCCCAGTGGTTAGAATGGTGTATTGCAGGCTCTAACTCTGCCCACAGTCAGGACTTCAATTCTGACCAACTCAAGGTTGACTCAGCCTTCCGTTCTTCCAAGGTCAGTAAAATGAGGAGCCAGAGGCAAGATACTGACTCTAAACCACTTAGAGAGGGCTGGAAAGCACCATAAAGCGCTATATAAGTCTAAGGGCTAGTGCTATTCCTATTTTTGCTCGGTCCAAGTCCTAAGGCTTCTCAACCTTAGCCATTTTAAGGTGTGTGGACTTTCAACTCCCATTGCCAGCGAAAACATCCTCAGAGCTGTCATGACCCACAACACCCCCTCCTCCTTTCAGGGTACACACACCCCACAGCCTCTTTAGGGTTTCACAACCATGGCCCTTTCAAACAAAGTCCCAGAAATAAGAACTAGAAGGGGTCCTGGGGGGGGGGTCATCTAGTCTAAAGCAATCTTCCCAAATTTTCATTTATTTTTTTCCCCTTCCTCCTCCATTCTCAATTTCTAGAGTCTTGGGTTTGTTTGGGGTTTTTGTTTTTACATCATAAACTGCAGGAAAGAGACAATCAATCTCTTGTTCTTGGCACACCACTTCATTGTTTTAATTTTTTTTGGCTAAAGAGAGCTCTTTGTATTTGTCCCAAACCGTTTCCTCTCTTGCAATAGGCAGTCGGCCGGGACTCGCATCTGGGCAGAAATACACAATGCCAAAGTGCATGTTGACCAAACACAGATTATTCAGCTACCGCTCTAATGGATTGATGGATTGGGGGACAAATGAAGGAGGGAAGTGCAGCTCGCATAGCCTAGGCCTTTAAAGAAAAGAAAAAAACATTAGTGTGAGAAATTAATAGATTAACAGAGTTGGAAGGCGCTTTGTGGGTCATCTAGTCCAACCCCCCACCCAAGCAGGAGACCTTACACCATTTCTGACAAATGACAGTCTAGTCTCTTCTTGAAAGCCTCCAGGGATGAAGCTCTCACAACTTCCGAAGGCAACTTCTGTTCCATGGGTGGATGTTCCATGTTCTCACTGTCAGAAAATTCCTCCTTATTTCCAGATGGAATCTCTCCTTGTTCAATTTCCATCCATTATTCCTCGTCTGGCCTTTGGGTGCTTTCAAAATAGTTTGACCCCTTCCTCCTCTCTGTGGCAGCCCCTCAAATATTGGAAGACTGCTATCCTGACTCCCCAGGTCCTTCTCTTCCCTAGCCCAGTCCCTGCAATCATTGTTTATGTTTAGAATAGAATAACAGAGTTGGGAGGGACCTTGTAGGTCATCTAGTCCAACCCCCCGCCCAAGCGGGAGACCCTACACCATTTCTGACAAATGGCAGAAATCTCTTCTTGAACGTCTCAAGTGAGGGCAACTTCTGTTCCATGGGTTGATTGTTCTCACTGTCAGAAAGTTTCTCCTTATTTCCAGGGTAAATCTCTCCTTGTTCAGTTTCCATCCATTATTCCTCGTCTGGCCTTCGGGAGCCTTGGAGAATAGCTTGACCCCTTCTTCCTCTCTGGGGCAGCCCCTCAAATATTGGAAGATGCTCTCCTGTCTCCCCTGGTCCTTCTCTTCACCAGACTAGCCAGGCCCGGTTCCTGTAACCGTTCTTCATATGTTTGAGCCTCCAGTCCCCTCATCATCCTGGTTGCTCTTCTCCGCACTCTTTCTAGAGTCTCCACATCTTTTTTATGGTGTGGTGACCAAAACTGGATGCAGGACTCTAGGTGTGGTGTATAGGATAGGATTACAAGATCCTCCCAAATTTTTGGCCGTCTGGCTCTGCTTACAAGGACTTTTGAGATCGGGGCTCAAAAGCAGAACCTATAATGATCCCAGGGTTTTCCAAACTTGGCAATTTAGCAGGAGATTTTGACTTCAAGTTCAAGCCTTCATTTAGTGGCCACTCGGAGTAGCAACCGGCGGAGGGGAGGGGGGGAGAGAGATTTGTATCTTTTTCACACTCAACACTTGTTCACAGTTTTCCTCATCAACGGAGCCCACCCCGCTCAAAAAACAACAACCCCTACCCGCAGTCAATCCTCAATTTACAACCTGTTCATTTAGTGGCTGCTTGGAGTCACAAACCAGCTGTGGAAAAAAAGGGACGTGATTCTTTTCACACTCAACACTTGTTCACACTTTTCCTCACCGACAGAGACCCCCC